ATCAAAGAGTTTTCTGGGTAGATCAGAAACCTAATTCGATCTTCAAAGTCAGTATCTTTAAAGATCAAGCATTGCAGCTGCATATACAAAAGAAATTAGCAACAACAAAAAAGTTAATTACTTTGTGAATTCGTCGAATTGATAGAGAGAAGTAATCGAATTCGTAACTGATTCGATCAAAATTGAATTGAATAAGAGAAATAATAATCTAGGGTTTGAGAGAATCTAGTGAAATTGTAATAACCTGTATAAGGTAAGAAGACTAAATCGATCATGAAACAGGTGGAAGAGAGAGATCAGATAAAAAGGTTTTGAACAGTTTCGGAGATATCAGAAATAGAAAAAAATGCTTCAGAAGTTTCGTTTAAGGGAAAAGATTCGGTAAAGGTTTATTAATGGGCCTTAATGTTTGGATATACAAATACTAGCAAATCTCAATAAATGGGCCTATTATTGGGTCTTTCTTTGAAGTCAACTCAAAGACGAGCCTTTGATTGAAGTCAACTCCAAACTTCTTTAAAATTAGAATCTTTATATGATTCATCATTGTATATTATTATTATTTTTTTAACTTTGCTATAAATGTTACTTGTTATGTTACTTGTATTTTTAGTGTAGAATAATTTTTCAATAAAAACTACTTCCTCTAACGAACATGAGTACTAGAGTAAATAACAATTATGTATAAGATGATATTATAGTTAAAAATGTCAGACAAAGTAAATTACTTTGATTGAAGTCAACTCAAACAGTTTGTATTCATACAAACATGTGTTTGAGTTGTAGATGATAAAGACTAACATTTTAGGGCAAGTCTCGAGCCTTGTAATAATGACGAGTAAGATTGCAAGCTTTACATATAACAAATAAATGGTCCATACTCCATAGACTCAATAATGCACAATAGCACATGACTTGTATCTAGTTACAGCTGAAGAGAAATTCAAAACAGAAAAGTGGTTAAAAAGATTAACTAAATTTGTATCTTGCAAGGACATTTTTAACTCGACCCAAATGCATATGTTCTAGGAAACCAATTCAAATGCTATAGAAATGATCAAACAGTAATGAGTTTTTTGTATCTCCTGATCTGTAACAAAACTAATTGCATATCTTAATATGAAACCAATCCAAATTTTGAAAACAAAACATTACATAACTTAGTTTAGCAATAGTTTGTATTTCTGTTAATCAATTGTAATTATAATGTCATAATCCACCGTTAACCTTAAATTTTCTAAAAGCTAGTAAATGATGCATTTACGTTTAGTCTAAGCCTAACTGTTTTTTCTTACATTGTTGGTTTGGCAATTGATAAGTTATTATGTGTTTGGTTTGGATCATTAATGGCACAATAAATGAGATCGCTTCTTCTCACTAAATGAGATCACATTTTAGGGTTTGAGATCACTAATATAGTAGAGCATGTCCTTCAACTATAAAAGGAAAATAAAGCATCCACGATTTATCAATTTTTGGTTTTTTTTTTTTTATAACGACACCATTTATTCATTCAGTAAATACGTTTTTTTTTTCTAAATACGACGGTTTTCCTCTTACTTTTTGATATGTTACATGTAAATTTTTTATATACGAGGGTATATATGAGGGAATATATACTGAAACTATTAGTCTAGAAATGCCACATTTATTGGATATTTCTAAATGATGATTGCATTCGTTGATTTTAGTCTAGATTTCAGAACATGAACCAATTATTAAACAATGTATAGATATTCTTCAATTTCAGGTTTTCCCCCACATCAACTTCTGGTGTATTTTATTAGAATTTTAATCGGAAATTGATACATACTGTACAATTTACTTTCTGTGCATATGTATATTATAGAATTATTAATTTTTCTTGTTCTGTTGGATGAGATCAACTGGGCAGTTGGCAGACATAAATAAATTGTTCAATGACAGATGGACCTCATTTAATTCATTTAGTTAAATGCCGGTTTTCTTCGCATTTTTACAAGTTGAAGCCTCTGGTTTAATCAATGCCGGTTTTCCTCTTTTCCTCACGGTTATATACCAGACAATTTAACTCTAGATGCAAACATTAAACCTGATTCAAAAACATTTCTACAATCTTAAAATAGTTAGACTCCCTAATTACCTATGCAAAGTTTGTCAATTATAAAAATCAATAGATGTATATGGAGAGAAACTAAACTAAACCGGAGTTGACAAGAAGTCAAGAAACCAAACAATAACAGAAAGCAAATCCGGTTTTGTATGTACGTACTCACGAGTCACGATTTGTCTATATAAACAGACCAAAGACCTAAGCTTCACTGACACACATCTGTCTTCTCTCTTTTATATCCATCATATAAGAAGCTCCTGGAATTTATTTAATTATGGGTTTAATTTCCCGTAAAGTGTGTGTGTTTATCTTTGTGTTCGCTCTAGTCGCCGAATTTGCACTCGCACATGTAGAAGTCAACGACGACAAACACTTTTTTCACAAACCTCGTCCCATATTCTACCACAAACCTCGTCCAATCTTTCACAAGCATGGCATTTACAAGAAGGGGTTTAAAAAGGGATTT